TATATAATATATATAATATATAAAATATATATAATATATAATATATAATATATATAATATATATAATATATATAATATATATAATATATAATGGTGATGGCACAGGATAGCACAAGGTTCAGGTTTGTTGTTCAGAGGGTTGCTATGAGTGGTAGTCGACTGACGGCACATAACAACAAACTTACAGGGAGCTCTAGTAGCCTAGTGCATAAGAAACTGTGCTGCCAACCCAAAGATTACGTAGTTCATATCCATCAGCTGCTCCTTAGGAGAAAAATGAGTAATCTTCTCACATTACAGTCTCTGAAAACTGACTGGAAGGTCTAAGTTATGAGCTGGTTCTGATTCAATGGCAATGACTTTGGCTTTTAATTTGCCTCATGCTTGGTAAGTGTGACACTTCCACAAGGCAGGGCTGACCGTGGCCTCCTGACTGAGCCAGCCTTCATTCATCCAAAACCAGCAGACATTCCTGTCCTGCCCCTTGGCAGGACTCATCAAAACAGCATTGAGTTGCTGAGAATCTGGGAAGAGTTGGCAAACCACCAAGTGTCTCCTTATACTGGGATTTCCAACTGGCATTTGTCATATAAATGGTAGCTGCTGGTCTAATCTGAAAGTGATCCAAATTGTATATGCTTCTAGCGAAGTTTTATGACTCATTTGGAAAGTTTCAAAAGCTCTAAATTTCAAATGCCTTAGGATAAAATAAAAACAGGGTGACAGACATCACAAGTCATTCTGAAGACAATTAGGCCAAAACAGGGGTTAAAACATCAAGAAAGCTGCCCCAAATTACAGGCACTGGAGTCATAATTACCTGTTTCTCCCCACAACGTGTCCGTGCCATTGACTTCTATTTCATGTTCCTTTTCCATTCCCAGCAAGCACTGGACCACCTGTCAGAAGTGGCAAGGTAATTTAATGAGTTCTCATGGCAATATGCGCTTATTATATCCATGTATCAAAGGAGAAAGTGTGTTTTTTTAAAAAACCATTATTATCTCATGCTGCACAAGAAGAGAAAATATAATGAAAAACATTTTCAAGCATAATTCATATGCTATTCACATGTTCACTTTGAGTAAAAAAAATTTTTTTTAAATCATAATCTTAGTGCATTGCAGCAATACCGCACAGCATTACTAGGTACTCAGAATTCTAATGAATTCCAGCATGACCCAAATACGCCAGCCTAATCAACAAAGGACATGGCACATCCCACAAAGTGCAGTTTCTGCAAAAATCGCTCCAAGATGGTGCATCCATTTCTCACAAGGCAAGAAAATATGGTGAAGTATACCTTTCCAACAAGATGAAACAGAGTGTTGTCACAGTAATTGTTTTTTTAAAGGACAGCTCTATTTTTCTTTTCCCTGTGGGAATCTTTCTCATCAAAGAGCAGGCTGGGCCACAGGTGTGGAGGCAGGAGCACGGTCTCTTAGGGACACGGAAGCAAATGCACCCTCAGCCCCAGCCCAACCTTCACCCTGAGTGTCAACAGTGACAAATCAGGAAGTTGAAGCCATCCCCGACTTGCCCTCCAGCCTCACATTGTACCTTTCATGGTGGTCTGATGATAGACCGCAGGGAAGGGTCTTTTACTGACAACTGGGAGCCTCCCTGTGCCCTCTACTGTCTATTCTACTTCCTCACTTCCTTGCCTTTTCCACTGTTACCTTAAGCTTGTGTTTTGTACCCTTCAATTCATTCTTTTATCTGTGATCTTTTAAAGATAATCACATGAAGAACAGGCTATGCATGACTGGTTGACAGGGGTTAGGGGAAAAGCTAAGGAAAGGTTTACACACAGGAACAATCATGGAGGGGTGACAGGTATAAGACAGGGAGAGGGGAGCAGACATTAGCTGATGGATGGGAAAGGAGAAGGGAAAAGGCAGGGAACAGTAAGGATTTCATGAACTGTAGCAAATAGTATTGATTAGTTACAATTAATTCTGTAAAACAAAATGTACATGAATGAGTGGATGAAAACCAATTAAAAAAATAATAATCACACGGAATCCCTGAAACCTGAGAACATTGCCTTGTATGTTGCAAAAGAATCAAGCTAAAATTAAGTTAAGGATTTTAGGGTGGGGAGATAATCTCCTGATGAACTTGATGGAACTGTAACAATCATTATGGAAAGGACATGGGAAAGAGGAGAAGGATGACAAGGAAATAGACAATGTGAGCTCTGAAGAAGGAAAATGTCAAGAAGCTAGGAAGGCAGGCAAGGAAGAGGAATCTGTGAAAGAATTGCTGGGCTGCCGATACCATAATTTTGGTCTTCTGACCCTCAGAACTGTAAAAGGATAAATTCACGTTGTTTTAGGCCATTACGTTTATAATAATTCGTTACAGCAGCAACAGGAAGCACATGCACCCTGCAATTATTCAGGAGAAGACATTTTGTCATTTACATGGTGCTGGCTGTGCTGAGGCTGCCTGTGCCACCACCGAGCCAGCTTTACATGTTAGAGCCTCCCAGACTGCAGTAACCACTTAAAAAGAGACATGCGTACCTTTAGGTACATTTAACACTTGCACATACATTCATGTGTATTTTTAATCAAAAGACTGTAAAAAACTAGCCAGCATGTGTGTGAGTTTGCAGTCAACATGTGTGTGTCTGTGTGAGTCACCTTTGCAAATTTGCTTTTAGGTCATTTGGGGGAAGAATCTTATCAAATATTGACATCTCTTATTTCTTTAAGATAACGGTAAAAAAAATCATAGAAGAGAGTAGGTCAAATACTCTTTACTGCACAGATAAAACCAAGACACTCAAGTCTGGAATGACAATGAAATCTTAAAGATGCACCAACACCTACCAGAAATAATGTTCTATTTAAATATAGGACGCGTCTCTCCTTCCATGCAGGAACTGCACATGACAAGCATTCTTACATGCTCCCGAAGTATTAAAGTTCTATTTTTAAACATCTTTCAAATATTCAAGCACAATTTTAGAACAAAGATTCATATGATTATTTTTAAAAGATCGCAAAGACAAAAGCAGGAGTCAAAGGGTAAAATATGCAGGGCTGAGGGTAATAAAAGTAAAAAAGGCGAGGAAGAAAGTAGAGAGGCTAATAAAGAGCACGGGAGGCTCCGCTTGTTTTCAACAGAAGACCTTCACCTGCGGTCAAAGCCAATTCCTAGGTCTTGAAATCTTCTCTTTCATTTCTTCAGTGTCGAAACCATCATACTAATTCTGAAGGCAAGTGCAAACGATCTACCTCGTCTACACCTCTAGTTCCCCGGAAGGATCTCTCCAACCCCACTCACCGAGCTGTGGCCCATGCTGGCGGCTGCCGTCAGCGCCTGCTGCAAGGCTTGGCTTTTCCTCAGCGTCCCTGGCACGTGGGGACCCTCAGACCACTCACAGGTCAGCAGGTACTGGAGAATGTCTCCATGGCCCCTCAGTGCACTGTGCACAAGTGCACACTGGCCTTTCTTGTCCAAGTGGTCCACCTGGGGGAAGAAGCAAGGGGAGTCACAGCTAAGCATCACCATTCCTCAGAGGATATATTGTCACTGAACCCAGACATAGCTGACTTTCTAATGGGATTTCAAAGGCTGTACATCCCACAGGAGAAGACTGCTCATCTTTCTCCCGTGGAGCACCTGGTGGATTGGAATGCCCTAACCACTAGATCACCAGATCTGGATAAACCACACATTCTGTATGTAAAATATGTTCCATTGCAAATGGGCACAGGTGTCATATTCATCATTCTGCAGAGCTTCAAATATCCTCTCTATTATTTTATTGCACATTTCCAAGCTTTGGTTCTCTCTGTAGAAACACAATATCCCTCTCACTTCTATGTTCCTCCAGTATACCCAGGAGTTTCCAAGTTCTCAGGCAAATGTAGATGAAGCATAGAACAAAACCTCAGACAATGCCTAACAATTATTAACATGAGCTGTTTGGTAGAAAAATTCTGTATCTGCTGTAGCAAGCTATGATTTTGGGGGAGTAAGGCGTGCCTGATCCAAGCCATGATCTTCACATTTACTTGCTATGCATCAGAGAGCTGGGCAATAACTAAAGATAACAGAAGAAGGATCGCTGTCTTCGAGGCGTGGTGCTGCATAAGAATGGTCAACATACCATGGACTGCCAAACGAACAAACAGGTCTGTCCTTGAGACAGTGAAACCAGTTTGCTTCCTGAAAGCAAGGATTTTGACGTTCCAGCTCACACACTTTGGGCATGTGGCCAGGAGGAACCAGTCCTTTGAGAGGGACATCATGCTTGGTAGGGTGGAGGGACAGTGCAAGAGAGGAAGACCCAGGATAAGACTTAGGATAAGACTGAGTATTGACTCAGTGACTTGAACAATGGGATTAGGTCAGAGACGATGAGATTGGCACAGGATAGGGCAGTTTCAGGGCTAATGTATACAGGGTTGCTAGGAGTCACAGGCGACTTGACAGCACATAACTACTATGTAGTTCTTTGATCACGGAACCTGGGGAGCGAGAAGAAGGAGAGGAGGACCTGGAACATGCAAATGTGCTTGAGGAAGGACAAGAAGAGATCCGGGAAGTACTAGCACTCCAGAAATACTATGGCAACCTGCAGTTTTTAATTTGCTGGAAAAGCTCTGAAACCTTCCTTGCACAAAATATGACTAAAAATGATGTACATACACATGGTCCAGCTTACTACAAATTCTTAACAACACACTTAGAACTAGATCTCATTTATAACCCAGAGACTGCCTCTTTTAGTATCAAAGTGACAACAGCAACTTGAAAGACTATCTTGGACCTTTAGGGAAGTTCTTGTTAAGAGCTTTCAAGTTGATTATGACTCATAGTTCCTATCCTGTGCCATTCTCATAATCTCTGACACACTTGAGCACAACTGCTACTGTCACTGCGTCAATCCATCTTGTTGAAGGTCTTCCTCTCTTTCTCTGACCTTCTACTTTTCCAAGTAGATGTCCCTTTCCAAGGAGCAGCTTCTCCTAGCAACATGTCCAAAGCACGTGAAACAAAATTTCACCTCTGGTTCAACTGTTTGTTCTTTTTGTATTCCATGAGATATTTAGTGTTTTTCTCTAATATCACAACTCAAAGGTATTGATTCTTCTTCTGTCATCCTTATTTACTGTCCAGCTTTCAGATACATAACAAGACAAGACCATGACTGGAACCAGATGCACCTTAAGTCTTCAAACTGACATGAGTGCTCCTCAGTAATTTGGAGAAGTCTCTGACAATGGACTTGTCCACTGCAACACATCTTAGGGAAGAGTGAGGGTACATTAATGAGAGAGGAGTAATTCAGAAAGGAGGATGAGTATGGCTGTGTAACCTGAAGGATATACTTAATGTCACTGAAATGTGTATGTGTGTGTATATATATATGTATAGACTTGAATTGGCATATGCTCTTTCTGTGTACATACTCAATAACAAGGAAAATAATTTTTCTTGAAGGATATGAACTAGAAGGAACGAAAAAGGTGGTCATCATGTACAAAACTGTGAAAGTCATTAATACCACTCAAGAGTACCATTAAAAAAAATGGTTAACATGGCAACTATCATGTTACATATACTTTACTAGAATAATAAAAAAAGTAAAGACATTCTAAACAAAGAACATAAATTAAAATGGGATAGAATAAGAAAAGGAGGACAGGACAAAAAAAATTTGGAGTGCTGACCTCAGTTCTGTGGGTTGATGGTCAGGAGTATCCGTGGTACGCTGTCTCTCCTGCCCATCTAGTAAAATACTAGTTACAGTCTATGAGCAAGGCACCGGGCTGGCCTGCCCTCTAAGGCTGTACAGATGGCGTGCATTACAGTCCAAACGACATCGTATCCTTTTTTATTATGTTATAGTTTCTACTCTTTGCAGTTTGACAAAGTTGAGACAAAAGGCCACTGTCCCAGGGACTGACAATTCCAGCAGTGAGCTTAAGAGATACTGAGCTTCTGCTATTAAAGGTGGTGGGGAAACTTGGTACAGAGTGACAGACATGGCCTTATAACACCATGGCTACAATGAACTGTGCATGTGAAGAAAGTTGACATGACACATATGCATTTACCACAATGAATCAAAAAAAATGAGAAAAAGTCTAGCAACGATAGGAAAATATTCCTCCTCCGCCCCACCCCACCCCGCTCACCCTGGCACCCCTCTTGGTCAGCAGAGACACCAGCTTCATGTGGCCGGCAGCTGCTGCATAGCAGAGGGCTGTCATGCCATTCTCCGACATTCCGTCCAGGAAGGCACCGAATTCCAGGAGCAGAGTGACCACTTCCTCGTGACCGAGGTGAGACTGGACGCACAGGATTGGGGCATTGTTCAACACTTCTGTCCTGTAGTTCACATTGGCTCCTCCCAAGATCAGGAGACGGCTCACCTGTTGGGAAACACTTTTTTTAAAAAAATCTGCTGAGATAACAGTCAATGTTCAAAATATTTCTAGGAGAAGGGTGGTGTTTCAAATGTCCACATAGCCATTTTACTCCAGGGCTTCTCAAACATGAGGGTGCTGTCAAGACAATGGACTGCAGGGTCTCCCATGAGCTGTCAGTCTCAGTAAGTCTGGGCGGCCCCAAAACAGGCATTTTTAACAAGTGCTTGGGTAACTAAGAGGCTGCACTGAAGTCCCCTGCTGAGGCTAACATGGAGGGCACTGGCATTTCAGTGGTGAGTTTCTGCCTTCCATGTAAATACAAACACTCTTTACAGAGGAAGTCTCTCTAACAAGAAAAAAAAATCAATCTCTCTCTGATTGCTGTAGAGCTGAACCCCCAGAGGTTTTCAGAGTCTGTACAAAGCTTGGGAGGAGACTGCCTATCCTTACCCCATGGTAGATTCAAATCGCCACATTCAGTACAGCAGTACAACTCCTTACTTACAAGGCCACAAGTAAAAACAGCATGTCAAGAAAAAAACACAACAGAAAAATGCCCACGTGCCCCTTGGAAAGGACAACACATCACAATTTGCCCAGAAATCTGCTTTTGTACTCATTTCTATTAGTCTATACTGTTTGCTAAACTCTTTGATCCCAGTGAGCAAGGAAAGTGTTTTTAGCTACAGATTTAAAAAATATCACTGAACACCTTATACAAATTTTCACTTGTACCACCTTCACACCTCTAGATAATTAAGAACCAAAAATCGGCGCTGCTCCAGCACTTATAAAAGTGTCCACTGCATCTCAGTGAATGTTTTCTTAATGGTCCAGCACAGGCATCAGTCAGCCTTCTGACAAACTCTGGCACGTCTTACGAGCTGCCCACCGGGTGTGAAAACCTCATGGCAAAGTGGTGTTTATTTAAGTAAAACTACAATGCGATAATTATACAGAAGAAGGCAAGTTACAAAAAAATGCAGAGCATTGCAGTGCTGACAGAATGTTTAAGCTGATCCTATACCTGCCATCTCTGAGTCTCTTTCGACTCCTAGTGCTCCTACAGGCAGACTAGAACTGTCTCCTAGAGTTAGAAGGGCTGTCATCTTGATGGAAACAAACTGCCCATCATTTTTCCTCTTTGGAGTGGCTGTTGGATTTTGAACCACTGATCTTTCTATTAGCAGCTAAGTGTTTAACCACTGTCCCACCCAGGCTCCCTGCAAACTGATGTTGCTGTTGTTAAGTACCACAGAGGTGGAACTGATCCCTAGCTGACCCTCCAGCAAGTTTTTAGAGGCGGTAAAAGACACAGATCTTTCTCCCGAGGAGCAGCTAGTAGATTTTAATCGTCTGACTCTGGTTTGGCAGCATAACTCCTTACCACTAAGTAACCAGAGCTCCCTACAAACTGATAGATGTGAAATTATACACCATGAGCCATGAGGAAGCACACAGCTGAATGAGAGCCATCAGGTGAAATCTTGAAATCTGAAGCCTCCACCAAGGCTTAAATGCCACGTGATCCAGTTCTCCAGCCTCCTGGTGACACTCTGCCCCTAGCTCCTCTTGCTGAAGTCATCCTGGCTCTGCTGCCTGGGTTTCACCTTGCCAATCAAGGCCTCAGCTTCCCAGCCTTTACTGTCACAGCTCCTTCCACACACAGTTCCCAGAGCATCACCCGCTCCAGGTCTCCCAGAGCATCACCCGCTCCAGGTCTCTGCTGCAGACCATGTCAGGGAGACCCCAGAAGGTACTTTCTCCACTGGCCTTATTAAACAAGGACCCATTATTACCCAAATCCCAGATCCTCCCCATACTCTCCTGTACCTTTTATTTCCTTCATAGCCCAATCCAAACCAAAGCACTGGGTCCTGGTTCTAAAATAGAAAAGTTCAAAGAGAAGAGGCTCTTCAGGAACAGGGATGGCCCACACATTAAAAGTCTGTGCACATCAGGAACTGTTCCCAATATCTGCATGTTATCCACAGGCAGAGGGGTCCCCAACAAGATCCAGATCTACCAGCAACAAGCCTGCACCCACTGAGGGGCCTTCATGTGGTGTCATGCAGCCCAGCCCCTCCTGTCAATCAGCAGACGTAGGTGGAAGGGCAGAAAACACAATGACAAGAAACCAGAAAGTGCTTTTCTGTGCCAACACTGATGTTTTAACAAGTGACCTCAGGCAACCTGCCTAATTGTTCCCAGTTTGCTCCAACTGATCTAGTTGGCTCTCTTATGAAAAAAAAAAAAACAAAAACACCTAAACTGATTATGATTCAAAAGTTTTATAAAAGTGATAAATGACAGATCTTCCCTCATCCGCTGAGTAACTATTTAGTCAGTCACTGCTGCTGAGATGAACGAACTCCTAGGTGACCCTCCAGTGGCATTTAGAAGCTGTAAAATAGGGGAGCTCTGGTGGCCTGGTGGCGGGAGGCTGCAACTACAATCCCAGAGGTGCATGGTTCGAGTCCACCAGATG